TACGAAATTATAGGTGTCTCTGAAAATTGCTCACCAGCGTTTACTATTGTGTGTTATTGTGGTAGCTGGTCATCCAATTCAGTAGTCTTCCTCCCTTGAGTCTGGGTTGTCTCTGTAATTTGCTTTTGGCCAATAGAATACAACAAAACTAATGCTGCAAGAACTTGGAGGTAAGCCATCGACATATTCAGTAGTTTCCAACTCAGTTTTTGGGGTGATCATTTTGGGAAACCAGTCATGTAAGAAATAGAACTACCAGGGCTACTGTGCCATGAGAAGCCCCAGCCACATAAAGATGTCCTGTGTTGGTGCTCTGTTTGAAATCACAGCTAAGCTTTCACTGAGCAGCCTGCATCAGCTGCCAGACATGTGACTGAGTCAGTCATCTTGGGCAGCCCACTAGACTCCCCATGACTACAACCGCTGCTGTCACCTGATTGCAGCCACATGAAATATTTCAAAGGAGAGCTATCCAACAGGGTCCTATAAATTCCCAGAACTACGAAACAGAATAAAAAGTTACTTTAAGCCAAAGTTTATTATGCAATGACAGGTAACCAGAAAAGCTGTATCAGGTTTAAAACTGGGAAGCAAAGTGAAAATGCACTAAAATTATTTTTCATTATTATCAAGCATGTAAAATTTACATATTCCTTTGAACATATCACTTGCCATGGAACTCATTTCTAGACTAAATGTTACACAGAACAAAACCTAATGTGTTTGTCCTGTCTCTGGCCAACTTTTATTCTCTATTTACTTTCATTTTTAAATAAACTTGAATGTTTTGTGGACAAACACTAAACTTCCTTAAGATGATCTAGTTGTTTCAATATGAATTTTCCTGACATTTGTGCAAATCACAATTTTCCTGTTATATTAGACTGTTCATTGGTTTCAGGATTTCTTTCACTTGTCATCTTATAAAAAAAAAAAAAGAGGAAATCTTTTCACTATTATACAAGTACATTCAGGGTATCGAAGTTTGCTTTTTGTGTTTAGCTGATTTTGAGTATAGATAGACAAGTAACATTTGTATGTGGGGGTGGATATATGCCAGCATACTTATTTTTGTCCCTTATGTTTTTCTAAGTTTGACAAAAAGTATCACTAGAATAAAGAGTTTTACTTTAAGAAGATAATTGTAATTTTTAGAGAAAAAGACAAATTTTCCAAATTTGCCTTTGGTTGTTGCCTGACACAATCAGCTCTATATCTGTTTCTTATGCCCTTGTATCTTACACAGAAACAGAAACCAAGAGCTTGAAGACATCTGCCATCATGTATTGATACAGCTTGGCAGTCTACATATTGGTTTAGCTTTTACTTATTAAATGATACTCAAAAGAGACATGTTTTATTAAGCCAGAGGGGAAAACTCTGTTTTATGACACATATACATATTGGCTCAGCAAAAAGGTCAATTTTTAGAAAAATACTTGGATGTATATTGTATTTAATCCCTTTTCTGACCATTGAGAGAGATTTTAAAAAGAAAATCTTCAAATTTGTAAGTGTTGAATGTCAATATTTAGTCCCGCATAAGATATACTGAATATTATTTATTGGGTGCTTGGGTCTTCATAGGGTATATTTTGATAAGAAATCATCTTTCTTTCTCTGATCAGATTTCTTCTAATCAGTTCTCCTTTTTTCAACTTAGTTTACAAGATTGATGGCTGTATTTCTAGGTTTTTCTAGATGTAAGAATCTGTCATTCTTAATCTTTGCTCTGGAAATATGCTACTATTTTCAAATCTCCATAAGACCTTCTCCCAAAACAATTAGTATTATGTCAAAAGCTGGTTCTATCCTGACATATTAACTTGTATATGATGCTTCTATAGTTGAGAGATTCTCAAATATTTTCCTACTACTACTCAGGAGAGAAGAACGCTCTTGTGGAAGACATTCTTCCATGCACAGTACCAGAGACACGAGGAGCATACCAGAGACAAATCATGGCTTCCTATGCTTCCTAGTGTTATTACACTAACTCACTATATCATTTCACACTATTATAGAATTGATCATGAGTCTAATCCAATTTATTTTAAAAACTGAATCACAGATTTTAATATCTTACCCATTATTGGAGACATGTTACTTGCTCCAAATCTTTCAGCTAATACCATACACTATTACAAAAATTATCTACATGATCTACACTATTACCTAATTTTATGTAAATTGTCTAATATTGGCATAATGTTGTTCTTAATATTCTCTTATCCTTTAATGTCCTAACATTGGAAGTATGTATCATCTCATTTTTCCTTGACTAGTTTGTTTAGGAAGTGAACAATTTTGTGAACTTTTTAAAAAAGAAACAGTTCTGATTTCACTGAACTTATTATTTGTCTATTCTCTCTTTTGTTAAATTTTCCTCACTATTATTTTATACATTCCCACATGTTGAATTGAATTTTTTGGTTTTTCTAATTTCTTAAAGTTGAAATTAAGTAGATGTTTTAAAGTCATTCTTCTTTCTGATTCAAACATTTTAAAGCTAAAAGTTTCCTCTAATCACTGACTTACCTGCATTCCACAAATTCTTGCCTGCTGTGCTTTCACTTTCTTTGACTCAGAGTAACTGAGTTTTCCTATGGAAGAGTAAGACCCATGGGTTAGTAAAATGTGGTTTATTGCCATTATTAGGAATTTCCTGTTATCTGTTACTGATTTGTACTTAAATTAAATTTCATGGTAATAAGAAAAGAGTTTGAGTGATTTTGCCATTCTTTTAAATGTATGAGACTAGTTTTATGACCCAAAATGTTGTGTATCTTGGTGAATGTTCCATGTGCTCTTAAAATAATGTAATAATGTACTTCACTGCAGGGTGAAATGCCAGTTCAGTCACTATATTGATATGGTTATTTCAAGTTTCCTATCCCTTTACTGGTTTCCTATCTACCTGTTCTATCAGTTACTGAAACTGTTGAAACCCTTATCAATTTCTATTCTATAAGTATCTGTGGTGTTGCCAGAGCACATGGTAAGACCAATATCTGAAGCCTGACAATGATGGCCATGTCTTCATACTGAACACCGTATCAGATAAAAGAAGAATGCTGAAAAAAATCTCAACATCTATAGATAATTTATAATTTTGTAAACAGAAGCAGGTAAGAGAAATGTCCAAAAAAAAAAAAAATCACAAAGGATGTCCGATCTCGACTATTTTGAGAAGTCAAGTTTTTTTAGATTAGGATAAATAATAATCTTTGAAAATGTCAACACGTGAAACTATGAACGTAGCCCAGATTCCTATTTAGAAATCCATGTATGCAATTCAAATATGCTTCAGCCATTTACACACTATTTAATTGGCGGAAATTACTTCTTAAGCTTACAGGAGTTTCCTTTACAAACCCAAATGTTTACGGTGAATATCATCTGGGACTTCATAGATGACTTATTTAGTTGGCCTTTTCGGCATATCTCAGTACGCATTTAATGATAAAGTGCTAGAATTACCTGTCCACCCCGGTTTCTGGTTGAAACTGCGACAAGAAGAGAAAGCCTAGGAGTGAAAGGCATGCAGGTAAACGGGCGCGGCTGGTGGGCAGAACCTGACATTTCCCTGGGCCCTATCCGTGCGGGCCCTATCCGTGGCTGCCTGTGACAAACGTGGGAGTCAGAGACATAATGTAAGAAGGGGCCGGGCTCTGCCAGTCGGCGCGCGACGACGCCCTAGCTTTGGCCTTCACCTAAAGGACCCTAAGAAGCTCCCTCGCCGGGCGACGCCAGCACCCCACGGCTCCCGGAGCATCCTGCAGACTACCAGCAGGTGTGCGCGGTGCGCGCGCACGCGGCGCGTGCTGGGTGCGGGTCGGCAGGCGTACTAGCTGCCCGGCGCCTAGAGGAGGGTGCTCGGCGCGGCGGGTGTTGCCCTCGCCGCCTCCCCGCCTCCTTCCTCTCAGCCTTGACGGGGATGCTCTGGCGCGGGTGGCCCCTTGACTGTAAGCGCGCGGCCCCGGGGGGGGAGGGGGGCGGCGTGTGTGAGTAGCTGGGCTGGGGCCTCCCGGCGCTCGGTGGAGAGCTCGCCCGGGTTTGTCCGCCGCCGTCACCTGACTCGCTGGAGCAGCCACAGCTGAGGTGGGGGCGGGGATGGGGACGCAGCGCGGAGTGCTGGAGAGACGCGGCGGTGCTGGTGGAGGCGGCGGCGGCGGCAGGCGGGTCTGGCTCTTGGGGCCACTAGCAGCGGGCGCAGGGACCGCGGAGCTGAGGGCGGGGGCCGGGCCTGGGCAGGAGGGTCGCGCCCCGGGACACCGGGTCCCCCGCGGCCGCACACACCCACCCGGCTGCGGATTCCCCCGGCGGCCCAGGCTCCGCTCCGCCTGCGGCGGACGGCGCCGTTCCCGGGGCGGGGTGAGTACCGGCAGCCCCAGCTCGGCCCCCTCCCCAGTGCCAGGGCCACACGGGGATCCAGGGCGGATAATCCTGGGGCAAGGAGAAGGGCAGCCGCTGGGTGACAGCTCCGTGGCGCGCTCCAGGGCGGGGGTAGGGTTGGGCTGGGCTGTCAGCCTGTCTGCTCCGCTGCCCGGGAGGGCGAGGCGCTAGGCGACGTGGGCGCCTCCGCAGAGCCCCTGGGCGGCCCCTGCGGCGGAGACTTGGGGGGCGAGGGAGGCGGCTGGGGCCCAGGCCCACGGCGGGGCTTTGGAAGCGTCGGCGAGGAAGGGAACGGAGGAGAGGGCATAACATGGCGCAACGCTAGGATAATCTCCACCACCGAGGACGAACCCCATTACTGCAGCAGCGCGGGGAGGAGCAGGGAAGCGGTCAGGGCTTGGGTATCCGATTCGTTTTCCAAGCCTGAGAGCTGCTAGGAGGAAACGCTGTGCCCTGGAGGTGGACTCCTGATGGGCACTGCATCCAGGGAATAAACCCGAAACACGCTGGAGCTGGTCTGGCATCTGGGGATCAGGTTGCAGAGAAAGTGCTGAATGTTAGCCGGAAGGGTGGGACGGGGCTACTGTCACGATGCTGGGACCGGAGCCCTATCTGGGGTTCTGTGGTGAACCTCCTCTTGGTCGAGATCGTGTTGAGGGAGAGGGGCTTAGCGCGTTGCTGGCTCGGAGAGATACTAGGGTGGGGATCGCGGTGATGAGAGCCGCCGTGCGGCTGGAGGAGGCGAGGCCTGGGTACTCGGAGGGTTGGGTGTGCGGGTTAAAGCTGGACCGTCTCTTCTTTCCCGCAGAAGAGGAGGCAGTAGACGTGGCCGGAGAAGATGTCAGGCCAAACGCTCACGGATCGGATCGCCGCGGCTCAGTACAGCGTGACAGGCTCCGCTGTGGCGAGAGCGGTCTGCAAAGCCACCACGCATGAAGTGATGGGCCCCAAGAAAAAGCACCTGGACTGTAAGCATCTCTTTATATAAGTGGAACATGCGCACGGCTGAGGCGCCCTGGATGCGAGTGGCGCGGCCTGGGCTTGCTGTAGATAATGCTGCAGCTTCGGAAGTCCGGGTTGGGCAGTCCTAGGATTGAAATTTCCAACCTTGTCTGCAGGTGTCTCCTTGGGTTAGCCTGAAACTGTCCTTGAGCCCCCCCCCCCTTTTTTTTTCTGCTGCTGATTTCCAAGGTCTTGATGGGGTGGGGGGGATAATATGAGTGCGTGCGCGTATATGCGTATGAGAAAGTGTGTGTGTATTACTATAAAGATACCCAGCAATTGCACATGCTGGATTAGGCACTTTTTAACTCTTTTTTTTCCTTTCTCTCCTGACCCATCTTCCCCAGGTTAGAGGAAATTAGGGTTGCACAGTCATAGCCAAAAATAAATAAAGAAGGATTCGTGGAAGGTCAAATTTGGCACCCTGGTTTCTTTAAATACATTTTGGATAGTTTTAAAATAGTGTCATCTTTTTCAGTATCACTGCTGAGATTTTGTGTATCACTGTGGGTGTCTGTTGTATGTAACCATATCACAATGAAATATTCAAGCAATCTGATGTGGACATTACACTTCATAGATAATGGTGATTACATTTTACACATCAAGACACACTTCTTTGTCCCTTTCTTAGAAACTGCTGAGTGGAATGACTATGCTGTGGTCAAAAAAGGATGTGCTTTCCCATCTTTTGATGGTGCGATTTTGAATGAAACCATTTTATTTGTGATATGTTTCTTTAATGATGGTTATTTGATGGGAAAAGATTTTAATCTAGTTTGAAATGTCCATAAATGTCATATATACATTTATGTATAACATAAATGTTTCATTTGATATTTACATAGCAAATCCTTTATTACTGAAGGACAAATAGGGGCACTTAGAATAAAGCTTTCACCTGTTTTGTGTAGTGAGGTAATCAATATACTTGCTCTTGGTTGCTTCAGGATCTATCCTGTTGTGGTGTTTGTTGGTAAAGATCAGTGTTGGCATGAGACAGAGGTATAGCTGCACTCATTTCCCATTTGGCTTCCCATTTACCGAAGTTCTCATTTTCTTTTGAGTGAGGTCCTCTATAGTGTCTGCCTTGTGCAGCTGAAAAGATGGCAGCAATATTAGAATTGACTTTAGTCTTACTATTTGTAAAGCAAAGCTCGATGAAACTTACAGCTGCCTATTACTATATGAGTTATCCAGCGTCGTGTGCCTGTCATCTCATAAAATTGAATAATTTTCATTCTAGAAGCTTGTCTGAAGGGAAATCACCATACTCCTTTCTTGAGGCAATGTTTAACAAAATAATTTGATAATGGTATCATGTTAAATTTGTGTTATATTTGAGAGAGGCCTCCAGGGCCAGGGCACCTAACAGAAGTGGAAATTATAAATTCATGACCAGCTTATTTTCCTGCAGCCTGCTGAATCATTTAGCCATTTTTCTATCAGTTTCCCCAACTCTGGAAGCATGACTCATATCGCCAAGGTATATATGTCAGTCTAGCAAATCCTCATAGTAAGAAAGAGAGAGGTTATGGGTTTGCTAAACACTAGGAAATGACAGATCAATATGTGCATACATTTCAGAGACTATTCACAGGTTGGAACATTTCACTAAGATATCATTCAGGCAAAATTTTGACCATTATACCTCAAATTGTTTAGTCACATCATTCTTTTAGATCTGGAAAAGTCATTTAATAATTTTCAAGGTGGGAGATTTTATTTTGTTTCCAATATGTTAACGAGTAGAGTGATATTGAAGACACGGAACATAAAAAGATTCTGTGTTTAAAGAAAGCAGCTATGTAGGAACTGGTTCTGAAATATTAATAAGCATATGAGCTAAACTTTTATTGAGCAGTTGCTATATGCCAAACACTAAGCTTTGCATTATTAATTTATCACTGTTTAACAGATTCAGGGAGGTAATTAAATTTTGTAGCTTTTAACCATTATACTTAATTGTCATCTGTGGTACATTTAGTAATATTCTCTATTAAGAGAGTTGGGGGAAGACTGCATGGTCAAGTCATCAAAACACAGCTCCTATTTGCATGGCATTATGTGGAAATGAACATTGTAACCAAACTCTACAAAGTGCTTGAAAAATTGTAACACTTAAACAAATGAGCAAAAGACAAGAATAAAGAATAAAGGAGTACATGCTTTTTTTTTAATATTTTACTTTTCCAACAAGTCATGAAATGAAGTGATATTTACTTAAAAACCAATCTTGTAGAATTTGGAAAGTCAGAGATAACGTTACTAATATATCCTTCTTTCTAAAAAGATGATATATGAAATCTGAATATATGTTATTTGTATATGCATTATAAGAGAGCAGCTATGCTCAGTATTCTTCTTGATGTCCCTTTAAATAACAGTAGATTGTTTTAGTGACTTATTCACAGACTTTTAATAGCTTGCCAGTTATAAAAAGCAAATCATGTGCATTCTTATGAGATGCAAACATATAACCAAGTTTCTCTATGAAAACCAAAGCATTAGCTAAGAATTAGTACTAGGTAGTTAGCATTTCAATTTTGAAAATATTAAAAACTATTTGAAAGGAAAAGAGCACATGTATAATTATGGATTTGAAACCAAAAGAAGTTTAACTTAACCAAACTAATTTTAATTTGTGTATAACTTTTTCTTTTTGGAGTTTAGAATGGAAAATTATAAGAGAGTTTATAGTTCTGTGATTATTTTTACCATATCAGGTTAATTGTATCAATTGAGAACCCTTATGAAATGTGCATTTAGCATTTTAAGTACTGGTTTAAAAGATCATTTTTTTACCTTTGGGTAAATGGATGAAAACAGTTATTAATTATAGTGATTTTATAAAATGATGCTTAATGATAATAATGCATACATAAAAAGATGATTTGTTAACATCTGGGGACAGAATTATACATGGTAAGAAGGTAGAGATAAACTCTAGACATATTCTCAGGTTATTTTTTCATTTCCTCAGTAACAGTATGTTCCTTGAAAAGAAATATATTCAGAAAAACTTTACCATAATCAGTAACTATAGATTGAGTTTAAAGGATATGACAACTTTAATAATCTAGAGAAATATTCTATATTTTAAGGTATTTCTAGATCAAATTAAAATATTTACTCCATCCTTGCTTTTTGCACATGAAAACTAACCATTCTGGTCCATCTGCACATCCTCAATTCCCTTCCCATGTAACTTTGTGTACCTCGTAGATAGCACACAAGACATTGACCATCTTGGTTATGACTGTTTTTACATTTTATTTGCTTTCCCTTTTCTATTTTGTATTGATAGCCTAAAGAATAGCCCAAGTCATATTATAAGGTAAAAAGATCCCATAAGACACCCAGTATGTACCCAAGTGCAGTGTCAAAGTTAAAGAACAGTGAAAAAGCTGGTCAAAGATAATACCTGCAGGGGGAAACCTAGAAGTTTTACAACCTGGTGTATGATTCATTTTGGTTTACAATCCCTATTAATTTCTATATATGCTATATAATATCCTATTTAAACTGGCAAAATTCAAACTTAGTCCTTTCTATTATCAAACCAAACTTTATAGAAAGTCAAATTGGTTGTCAGTAATCCTATTTTTCCCATTTTGTATCTCTTCAGGGTTTTCATGAGCTTATTCCACAATATAAGATATTTAAGTTATGTTTCTTATGTTTGAAAGATACTATCATTTTATAAACGGTTCTTTCTCTCCCAAGTTAAAAAAAAAATAAGGTTGCATTTCTTTTAAGAATAGCTGCTAAAAACAGTGGCAAATATGCACTATGCTTCTATTCAAGGCAAATATTGGGAAATTAACACAAAATTTCTGTACTTAATTTTATTTGTATTTCAGTAGATCTGCCTATTCTGCTCCCCACTTTGTCTCTGGTGAATCCTCTCATCCCCATTACCTCTGGCCTATACCACAGTTCTTGTAAATAAGTGAAAATAAATTTTTTTAAAAATCTTTAAATGGAGAAATTTTATGAGTAAACTTAGAATCAAAAATTCTAAAAGTTTACTTGCTCTATATAAGCTTGCCTTATATGTAAGACATAATTTGATTTGATAGAAATCTTTATTTGTAATATCTTAATAGTGATGAGATTTAAAAAGTAGGTATTGAATAAAATTAATTGGAACAATGTATAAAAATTTATTGAACACTGAGTTGACTTTCAGTATGAGAAGTGTACTGACTTGTTTAAAAATATTTTGCTGTGTTTGCTGTTGTTCTCACTTAACTATTTTTATCTAGATATATGCTCTTATTTTTTATATTACAAAGAGTAAACCTTTTCCAAATGTGAACATGTTTAGAATAGTCTAGATTATTTTCTGTGTAGTCAAAAAAAAGTAGGGAAAATATACTTCTGGAACACTATTAAGCTGATTATGGTTCATTCCTTAAATTTGAAGGGCTCTACTCTGTATGGCTTTTGATGTTCTCAGACAATGCTGAACATCAAAGGAGGGGAGAAGAGATATCATGTGAGGTTTAGAAGTTGGCAGGAACAGGGGAAACAAGAGTGGCAAAGAGGTTTAGGTAATAATAGAGAGCACTATTTAGAAATGATTAAAATAATAATTAAGCAAGTTTTATATCACCTAGTGGAACAAAAAGGATTTATTTATTTCCTCATTTTAAGAGAAATCTTCTTTATGTTATAATTTAATTATACTTTATCCTCCTTTTGGTCATCAGTGTGGTTGGTTATCTAGTACTTTCTTGCAACCTGTATAAAACTGGTACATTAAACTGATATCTTGAAAGTGGTTCTAGTGATTTAAAAATTTATATATAGAGAAAAATATGATTATTTTAATTGCAGTATTACTTTGCAGCATTTTAGAATAAAACTTAGATTTTTGGTACTTTGCCATATTAATTTTATTGTTTAATAAATAGCTGCTGAAGTCTTATTTGTAATTTAACCTATGTACTTAGTTACCGTG